AAAATACCCTATATTCTATTTCTTTTTAATTATTTATATTTATAATCCAATCTTCGCACCGAAGTAATTCTTAATCTTCTTTAATTTTATAGATGTATTTCTAAGCTATTTTTTGAAAAAATGTATCTGATTTTTAACATTAAGATAGTTTGTGAAATTTTACGAAATCGTTATTATCTTTTAAATATAACATTTCTATATCTGCAATCTACATATATTATTTTATTTTTATTTTATTTTTTTAATAACTTAATTAAATGTTTCCTTCCAAAGGTCTTTTTTAATTTATGTATTAACATATTCTTCATATTATTCATTATCTTAAAATACATTATTATTAAGTTATATATAAACTTCATCTAAAAAACCCTTTGGGAAACCTTCTTTTTCCATTTGATATATTTTTTGTTTAGTATTTTTTATTATTTTTTTTTAAAAAAGTAGTAATAGTAAAAATATTTTAAAAACATATGATTTATAAAAATAAATAAATTAAAAAATATTATATTAAATAAAATTTAAATAACTTATTTTAATGATATTAATAATAAATATAAATTAAAAATCAATAATTTAAATTTAAACTTTTAATAATATTTATTAATAAAAATAAATAATTATTAAAGTTATTATTTATTATTATTTTATTTAAAAAGTTGCATTTTATCATAAATATTTAATTATAAATTTAAACTAAGTATAAATAAAAATTTAAATTAATTACTATATTTTATTTAAAGAAATATTAAAAATCTGAAAAAAAAGTTTTTATAATCAAAGTATTTTTTATATAAAAAAATACATTTTTTAATCAATTAATTAAATAATTTTGTATAACATAAGATTATAAAATTTTATATAAAGATTTTTATAATTATTAGGATGGCAATAAATAATAATTATTTTTTTTTAATAAAATATTTAAATTTTATTTTATAATTAAAATATAATAAAATAAAATATATTTACAAAGGATATAATTTAAAAAATTACTGAAATAATATATATCAATATAAAAAAATTATTAAAAATTGTAACTATTTGTTAGATAAGTTATAAATTATTATAATTATAAAAAAAAAAATTCAAAATATAAAAAAATATAAAAGGCTAAGAAAATAATATTTATATATAATTTTTTTTTATAATTTTATATGGATATATCAATTATAATATTTTATTATTTACATATACATTTTTATTAATCTTTTTATTTTTATTAAAAATATTATTAATTATATTATTATTTTTATTATTATTATTATTTTATTATTATTATTATTATTATTTTTATTATTAATTTTTTTTTTTATATTATTTTTAAAACATTTTTAGTTTAATTATATTCTTGACTATGTTTAACTAACTAGATAATATTCAAAGTATTATTTAAGGTCATTTTATTAATTAATAATAAAATGCAAGTATTTTATAAAATTAAAATGTTTATAATTAAGAATAAAATAATTCTTAATAATCAGTAACAATTTATTTTTTATATTTATTTTTTTATTTTTTTTATAAAATTAGTAAATATCTTAAGAATTTATAAAAAATTAGATTGAAGAATTAAAAAAAAGTCAAACCTAAGAATAATTAGTTTCTTTTTTAAATAATGTTGATGAATATATTAAATAAAATGAAACGGAACATAAATAATTTAAAATAATTTAATAAAGAATTTGTGAAATTTAATACTAAATATAAGAAAAGTCAAATTTATTAATGTAAATGGAAAAAATTTAATAATAAAATGAAATTTAATTAGAAGAAAAAAAAATTACGTTGATCAAAAATCAATTAAATTTACTGAATGGGAAGAAAAAATATAAAAATCATTATAATTTTTAAAAGAAAAGCACTTATTTATATAAGAACTTGAAGAAAATTTAGAATAAAAAAATGAAAAAAAGAACGACAATGAAGATGTATTTTAAAATGAAAAAAAAACTGATTTTGATGTTAAAATTTATATAAAAAAAATTGAAGAAAAAGATGATTAAATAAAATAATTTAGTATAAATATAGAAGAATTAATTAGATAAAATAGTTAACTTGAAAAATAATTTAATTTAAAAGAAAATGAGGTTTAATTAAAATAAAATCAAATTGAAAAATTGGAAAATTAAATTGAAAAACTTTTGTAATAATAATAGCAATTAGATATTGATTTATAAAATATAATGGAAGAAAAAAAGACGTTAAATGATAAAATTGAAGATATTAATAAAGAAAGAAAAGAAGATGTAAAGAAAATTAGAAAAGATATTGAAGATTAAGTCCTTTAGAAAAGTTAAATTTAAATTGGAAAAAATACTAATTATGAATCTATTATAGCAGATTAAAAAGATACTATTGTCTATTTAAATGATAAAATTAGTTATAATGAAAAATAAGTAAAAAGTTATATATTTTAATACTTTTTAATTAATATTTTTAAGATCGAAAGTTTATCTAAATAAAATTAATAATTAGTGTAATAAATTAATGATGCTTAAATTTTTATTGAATAAAATAATGTGAATATATATTATTTTTTTTAAATTAATTTGATTTATATTGTTTTTTATTTTTATTACAAAAAAAAAAAAAGTGTTAAGAATAAAAAGTTGAGGAAATATAAAAAATTAACACTGAATTAGTCAATAATGATTAAAAAAATGAATAATTATAATAAAATGATTATGATAAATATGTTTATTTTTAAATTATATATATATATATATATTAATATTTAAATAATTAGGAAATTAATATAAAATATAAATAGCTAATATATGAATTTAATATTATACAAAATTAACTTAAACAATAAAAAGTAATATATACATATATTTTATATATATATATATATATATATATGTAATTTAAATTAAATAATATAAAGGAATAATACAATAATTTATTAATTAATTATGAATCAGTAAATAATGAAAAAAAAAAATATAAACAAGATAACGAAGAATTAATATAATAAATAAACTATAAAAATTAATAATAACAAGAAAATAACTAATAATAAAAAGATGAAAACTAATTACATATAGAATAAATTATGAAAGATTTAAATTAATAATTAAATTAAAATATAGAATAAATTAAATTATTATAATAAAATAAATAATAATACTTATAAAAAATATAAGAAAGTAATAAAAGAGAAGCTATTTTAAATTAAAATATAGAAAATTTAACTAAAATAGTATAAAAATAAAATGAAGAATCTTAATAGATTTTATAAGAAAAAGACAATTTTATTGATTTAAATAAAAATTTATAAATTCAAATATAAAAAGCTTCATAAAAAATTAATGAAGTTTTATTTAATTTTTTTTTAATTTATATTAATATTTCTTTTTTAAAAAAATATTTAAATTATAGATTTAATTGGAAAATAAGTGTATTTCAGAAGAAAATTTAGAACAAAAAAGTAATAATCAAATTATAAGTAATGAATATGATTAACTATTAAAAAATTATTAAATTTTAAATGAAAAATATTAAGAAGTTTAATAATAGCTTTAATAAAAAAATGATTCTGATTTAAAAAAAGAAGATTTTTAATAAAAAAGTGAATAATTAAATATTTAGTTGTGTACATTTAATTAAAAAAGTGACAAATTTTAAATTAAAAATAAATTGTTTATTTAAGATATTGATAATTTAAGTTAAATTATGGAAGAAAAAATATAATATATAATTAAAAATAATGGAATAAATTGTTAATTAAATAAATAAAATGAAAAGATTAATAAATAAAATTATAATTTAAATGAATAAACTGATAATTTTAATAATGAAATCTAAAAAGTCATAAATTTAAAAAAAAACTTGAAGATTTATTAAAATCTTTTTTAATAAAATAATAGTAAAAGATTGAAAATGAAGAAATATATATATAATGTTTGAACTTAGATAATGATAATGAAATTTAAAAATAGAAAGAATAAATAATAGGATATTATTAAAAAAAATAAAAAATTATGAAACGAAAATAATAGATATATAAAAAAATAAATAAAATAATAAATAAATAATAGCATCATATGATTAAAATATAAATTAAGAAGAATAAATAAGAAATGATCAATATATTAAAAATAATAATAATAAATAAAAAGATAAACATCATATATATAATATTGAAGATTATGAATAAAATATTAAAAATTTATAAGAAATAATTTAAAACTATGATTAAAAATAAAAAAATATATAAAATAAATTAAAAGAAAATTAAGATATATAAATAGAAAATTAAAAAAATTAATGAATAATAATTAAGTAAAAATATATGTATATATATATATATATATATATATATATATATATTTATTTTATTATTTAATTATATAATAGTAAATTAAATTAATATAATAAATTAACTTTAACATTAACTTAATACTAAAACAGATGAGAACTAATAATTAATAAATTTTTAAGAAAAATATGAAAAATAAATTAAATATTTAGAAGATAAACTTAATATATTATAAATGGAAAACTTTTAAAAAATTTAAAATGCTTTTAAAAATGATAAAGAAATTATAATATATAATTTAGAGTCAAACATTTATTAAAAAGAATAAATAATTTAAGTAAATAATAAATAATTATTAGAAAAAGAATAATTAATTAATGAAAAATTATAAAAAATTAAAATTTTAGAAAATAAAATTTTAGAAAAAGAAAATTTAATAAAACAAATAAGTCAAGAATCAGATAAAAAAAATAAGGAAATTCTTTAAATAATTAAAGAAAAAGAAGAAAAATTTTATTAACATTAGTAAAAGGTTTAAGAAAATATAAATCTTGAATAAATGATAAAAGAACAATAGAATTAAAAATTATAGTTAGAAAAAATAAATAATAAATAAAGTTTATAAGTATTAAATTTAAAAGAATAAATAGATATATTAAAAAAAGATTATGAAAAATAAATTATATAAAATGAAATAAAAATAAAAAATTTAGAACTATAACATAAAAAAGAAATAAATATGCTGCATTAAATTTAAGAAGAATAAAAAATATAATAAAATGAAACATAACATTTATTAGAAATAGAAAAAGAAGAAAATAGGTAATTATAAAAAAACTACTATTAATAATAAAAATAATAATAATAATAATAATAATAATAATAATAATAATAATAATAATAATAATAATTATAATTATAATAATAATAATTAGAATTAGAATTAGAATTAAAATTATAATAATAGCAACAATAATATTCTCCTATAAAATACAATCCGCATTCTTATGCTGTTTTAGATTCTACTTATTTTAAATGCATTTAAAGATCTAAAAATTTGCTTTCGAAAAATGAAAGTATTTTAAATAATATCAAGGCTAGTTATTCTTTAGAAAGATAATAGTCACTAAATTTAAATAATTCATCATTTTTAAATTAAAAAAAATAATAATTTTAAACCCCTAAAGATTATAATAATTAATTTTTTGGAGTTAAAAAGGTTCATTCAATTTAACCTTCATTTTTGTAAAATTAAAAAAAATAACTTAATTTTTTCTCGTACGTTAATTCTTTACCAAGATATGAAGGAGAAAAATTAGGCAATTTAAGACATGGTAGAGGTAGATAATTTTATTCTAACGGAGAAATATACGAAGGGGAATGGAAAAGTGACAAAGTAAATAATATTTTATTTTATTTTATTTTTGAAAAAACTAAATACATATATATTAGAGGCATGGATATGGAATACTTAAAGATTAAAACGGAGAAACATATAATGGAAATTGGGAATTTGACCTTTATCATGGTTAGGGAAGATTAAGGAATTCTTATTGTGAAAATCTACATAAAGAATTCTATTATTAAGATTTTGGACTTCTTAAGAATTATTGGTTATCATATAGTGGAGAGTTTAAAAATAATAATTTTTATGGATTAGGTACTTTAGTACTTTCTAATGGTGAAAAATTTTTGGGCAGTTTTTTGGGTGGAAAAGTACATGGTGAAGGTACTTTTTATAAAAAAAATGGAGAAATAGAAGTAGGATTTTGGTAAAATAATAAATTTTTAGGAAAAATATGAGTATTTTTTGTTGATTTATTATTTAATTTGTTTGTTTTTTTCATTATTTTGATTTTATTTATTTTAATAATTAAACTTTTAACTTATCCCAATTTTTTGTCCATTTATCTACTTCTTCAGTATATTCGGAGTCATATTCTTTTCTGGTTATTAATCCTTCAATTAAAGTTCTCTGTTTGTTAATATTATTATTATATTAAATATTTAAAAAAATAAAAAAACTCTTAATAAATGAGGTATTATATGAATTTATTGTTTGTCTAATACATATACTTCAGTTATAGCTGAATCTGCTATCTTTATTATTATATAAAATTATATTATATATATATTATTATTTTACCACTGTCATCTTCGCAGGTTCAGTATGATCACATGAATATATTTCTTCAATTTAAGGCTCTATTTTTAAATATTCCCATAATAAAGATCGTCCGAAAAAAAAATCTCCTATCCCAAGTGTACTAAAGTCATACTTTTTTATTTAAATATAGTTTATTTATAAATCAGATATTGTTTTTACTTAATAAATATATGCTGTTTTATGTTAATCTTAAAAAAGCTATTAATAATGGAAACTTTTTGGAATTTGTTATTCTAAGCATTCTTCTATATCAACTTTTTCTTTTGGAAAATTTTTCTTTGGATTTTTAACTAAGCTATGCTTACTATTTAATACTGGTTTATCTTTTTATTTTATTATAAAAAAATAATATTTTTATTAATATACATTCGTAAAAACTAAAATTAAATTTTTTATTTTAAAGCATACGTTAAGATTTTCCCATAACTTCGTTAGAACGTATTATAGTTTCTTCTTTTGTAATTTTAACTTTTCCTTTAGAAACTATAAAAAATTAATTTGGAGATTAGCCTTCATTTAATAGAATTTCGCCCAATTTAAATGTTTTAACTTCTATTAAGTTTGCCATTGGAATAAGACTTATTTTATCAAAACTCTATAAATAAATGTATAATTGTAAATATATATAAATAAAAAGATATAATTTAAAAATATAAATATAAAAATATATATATAGATATATGAATATATACTAATTTTTAAATAAATAAATTTTAATAAATTATATGAACATAAATATATCTAATTTATATAATAATATATAAATAAATATAAATAATAATAAATATATATAAAAAAAATATTTATATATATTTATATATATATATAATATATATAAATATATATATATATTTATATATATTTATATTACTTCGAAAAACGGCAGAGTAGATAATAATGTCAATTTTATATCCAATTCTTTTTAAATTAAATTTAAAAGTATATTTTTAAAATATTCACTCGAAATAGTAAATAAATAAGTTTTTTCTGCTGTCTTTTTTTAAAAATTTAAATTAATTTTTTTAAAAAAATATAACTTCAATAGTAGCTGCTCTCAGAGCTTAATTTTTCTATTGATTTTCAATATCAGCATATTTTTAAAGTTATTTAAAAGCATTAGAATATTAATCTTTATTAATATTATTTTCTTTTGATCGATTTTATTAATTATTTTATTCATTTCTAAAAGCATCTAATTTATTTAATTATTACTTAATTACTTTTATATTTGAATTGTCTTATAAAAAAGATTTAATTTTTTCTTTTTTTTAATTCATAAGTGCTAAATCACCGAATTATTATCCATCAAAAAGTGTAGCTACAACAGGATTTTCGACTTTACCTTCATCATTAATCCTTTTAATTCTAACATGACATGCGCCTTTTATAATTACGTACATATTATCAGCTTAATCACCTTAATTAAATATAATTTACTATGTATCATATTTAATTATTTAAGACATTTTTAAAAGCTATATACGAGTAGGTTTAGAAAAACGCTTAAAAAATTTAAGTTTATAAACTAAGTCGTCTAGAAGTAAATAATTTCTCTAATTAATGTCTTTTTTATATTAATCTAAAAATATTTCAATTTCATGTTAACTAATACGATCAGAAGTATTACAAAATTAATAAATTGTTTAGTTTTTTTTTATATAAATCTCTAAATATATATATATTAGTATATATATATATTTTATATATATATATTTTTTTTTTACCTAATATTCTTAATCATCTTCTTTTACATATTATGAAAATTTTTTTTTTAAATTGTCGTTTATTTATTTTAATTCGTCATGAATATTTCCTGAATTATCATAAAAATATTTTTCTTGGTCTACTTGAGCTGTTTATTGAATATTTAAATTTGAAAACGATATGTTAAAGGACGGTTATACATATTCTTCCATGTTTAATAAAGTTTGTTATTTTAACACTGACATAGATATATATGTTTTGTCGTTTTCCATTCCGATTTCTTCTTATTATTATTTTTAGAGATTATCCATATGATCTTATATATCATTTTAGTAATATTTTCTTTAATTTTGTATATATTTAAACTCTCCTTTTGTAACATATACTGAGTTTAGATTTAGTTTTTCCTATATTAAAAAATTAAAATTAAATACAATTAGCAAATATATATAAATACAGGTATAATTTCCTCTTATAATATGAAATTATTTTAATAAGAATTATTTTAAAGTTGCAATTTTGACAATTCTTCATTTTATTATTATTATTATTAATATTATATTTATTATTATTTTTTTTATTATTATAATTTAATTTTTTTTTTTTATATATTTTTTTTTATAAAAGTTTTTAATTTTCTTATTACTTATACTAATCCATATTTTATTATTAAAAAGGTATTTTTTCACATTTTTAAGGCTTTAGGAATTTATTTATATGATTTCGAACATCATAATTGAGCAAAAAATCACTTTTATGATTCATTTCGTTTCTTGAACATAAAGATTATTCATGTTTATTTACCGAATTTTCGTTTTTTAAATACAATTCTTAAGCTGTTTATGCTCTATTGATTTTTGCGAATGTTATCTTTTCATGCTTATTGTTTATTATTTCTCTAAAATTTTTTATCTCATTTTATTCAACTTCTTTGATTGTCTAAGAGCGTGTAGTAGCAGTCCTTGGTTAAATAAAATTATGTTCTTTGTAACCAAAAAAGAATTTATCGCCCTTATTTTAGGTATCTTATAATTAATTTTTCGAAGTTTAAGGTCTAAGTTTTTTTATAATTTATTGATTTAGGTGTTGTTAAGCTATTTTTTCATGCTTAAATGGGAATATTTGTGGTATTTAGTTATTTTTAACATTTTAAAAATCCTAAATTTAATATGGTTTTAATATTTATTAAAGATTATATGAAGTTTAGGGCCTTTTTAATGGATTTGAAGTTGTTGGTCTTTGTTTATTTTACATTTAAATATAAATATATATATATAGATTTATAAATATACATATATATTTTTTAAGTTATTTTTTTATTATATATATATATATATATATATATATATATATAATTTTTTTTTATTTTTTTTTTATAATTAAAAAAAAATATTTTATCAAAATAATATGTTTTTGTTTGCTTTTCGATTTATTTTTCTAATTTTTTATTAAATATTTTTTTCGATTTTATTAATTTTTTATTCGATTAAAACCGATTCTTCTAATGATTCCTGGCATTATTATTTTATTTTCTCAAGTTATTTTTTTAATTAAGGTTTTAATAAATCTTCTAATGAAGACTAATTTTTGATTTTTAGTACATTTCAATGTTTTTTTGTTCCTATATTAAGCTTTTATCGATTTTTCTGTGGCTATTATTTGGTGAATTGTTATGACTTGATATGCATAATTTTAATAGCTTAATTTAATTTTTCATACCATATGAACCTATTATTTATTAAGAATCTAATTTATTTAATTACATGTTTTATATTTAATCTTATAACATTTAGCGGACTTCTAAATTATTTTCCATTCTTTAAGGTTTATATAATTAAGTGTAATCTTAATCATTTTTATTCATTTTTAAATTATATGAATTTTTAGCAATAATCTATATTTTATTAAATAAATAAAAAGCTAAATTTTTGAAAATATTTATATTTACTTCTTGTTTTAAATGAATGTGATATAATTCGTTTTTTAAAGAATCAGGCCATCTATTATTATTTTTAAAAATTAAAATTTTTTATGCAAATTTATAAATGTAAAAATATATATTTATATATATATATATATATATATATATATATATATATAATATTATGTTTATAATACAATTCTGTTATACACATTGATCCTCGATCTTCCATAAATTTTGGTTATATAAGTTTTTTACGAAATTAGAAATTTATTACATTTATTTCGTTTTTACTTTTTTAAAATGTATGATCATTATTTAATTATTAATTAATAACATTTGATTTGTACTTATTCTCTAAACAAGTTTTAATTATTTTATGTTTATTTAATGTAGAAAAATTTTATTAATTCTATTATGATATTGAATGCTACATTCTTTTTGTAATAAGATTAGAATTATATTCTAATGATTATAAATTGAATATTTATTATTAATATAAAATATTTTTTAAGTATATAATTATAGAATAAAATATATAATAAACATATATTTGCATTTATAATTACATATATAATATAGTTTATTTAAAGAATATTTAACTTAAAAATATATGAGGTATATTATTAATTTTACTATATATATTAAATTTTAAGTACTTATTTTTTATATTTTTATTATATTATATTTTTTCATATAATTATAAATATTAAAATTCTTAAAAATTTTTTATATAAAATTTAAAATAAATAATTTCTATTATATATTTATATTAAAATATTAAATATTATATATTTATTTCTTATAAAATGTAAATAAGAAATTATTTAAATTTGTGTTTGTTTTTATATTTTTTTACATAATTTTTTCTATAATATTTATTATTTTATTTATTAATATAAAATATTAATATTTTAATAATTATTTTTTTATTTGAATACAAATATTATAAAATTAAACAAAATTAAAATGAAAATAATAATTAATAAAAATAATTATTATATTAAAAGT